GACTCACAAAAATGTGAGGAATTTAAATAAAATGGCAAGAGGATTTTTGGAGAACAATAGATTCGCACATGTTGAATTTAATTCAACATGTTTGAATTTTGAAACCCATTCGAAAGGACTCTAAATGGGCTGAGACTTTTAGAGAAGCCTCGATAAAAGAGATGAGAAATATTGGCAAGGTTTGAAGGTCAAACTCGAAGAGGAATAGACATGGAAAATATTTTGCATGTGTGTTATGGGTGATTCCGAAAATGGAATATTTAATATAGCTCCCTAAAATATTGGGAGGATATGTTATATAGAGAAATCACCACGTGAATTCCCTCGGTTTAAATGGATCAAAGATCCATGCCATTTATTTAGTTGAGTTAAGAAAAGAAATGACATGATGGCATGATGACATGATGCAATGCACATGATGCAATGATGAATGCAATGAACCAAACAAAACACACGACGAAACCCGAAAACCACGGAAGGCATCTGAAGCTCCGGTCTTGGGGCGTCACAGGAGGGCAGCCAGGGCAGCCCCCCCCCCCCTGCAGTCCAAATTGGACAAGGGAAGGGGGCGGCACCCCCCTTTCCTACTCCATCTCCTTCTCCTTCCTTCCCCCTCTCTTCCTTGTGGAGGAATCCTACTAGGATTAGTAATCCTAGTAGGACTCCCTCTCCTTGGGCGCGCCCCTAGGGACGGCCGGCCTCCCCCTCCCTCCTTTATATACGGGGGCAGGGGGCTCCCTAGAACACACAAGTTGATCTTTTAGCCGTGTGCGGTGCCCCCCTCCACAGTTACACACCTCGGTCATATCATCATAGTGCTTAGGCGAAGCCCTGCGCCGGTAACTTCATCATCACCGTCGCCACGCCGTCGTGTTAACGGAACTCTCCCTCGGCCTCAACTGGATCAAGAGTTCGAGGGACGTCACCGAGCTGAACATGTGCTGATCGCGGAGGTGCCGTACGTTCGGTACTTGAATCGGTTGGATCGCGAAGACGTTCGACTACATCAACCGCGTTACTAAACGCTTCCACTTTCGGTCTACGAGGGTATGTAGACACCGCTCGTTGATATACTTCTTCTAGATAGATCTTGCGTGATCGTAGGCAATTGTTTTGAAATACTACGTTCCCCAACATCTTTGACTGCGCGACAAACGAAAAATTAATCTTTGTTAGTTATGGGGACAACGGGGTGATACTTGTGAAAATTCTAAAATCAGCACTATTGTTTTGAGATTTTGTAAAAATATATATTGGACCAAACGCTTCAACATTTTCACGATGGAAAACAAGATGAAAGTGCAAAGTGTTACGTGTAAGCTAGGCCATAAATCTCATGGTAGACAATGGATTCGTCAATACTCGCCATTGCAAGGATAAACACACGTGTACCAAGATAGGGATTAGTCTCACGTCATGCCGATGATGGCGTTTTCTTTTCCAATATTTTTTTTTAGAAAAATAGGTTGAGACCCCGGTTTGCATCTTCCATTTTCGAGTATGGCGATGATATTGTCCTCTTTGTCGAAGATGGAACTTGACATCAATCCGGACAAGAATAGAAAACTATTTGTGCTTTTAAAGTATATCAATATAACTCTTTGAATGAGACTGACTCCTTCCCGTTTTGATATTTTGGTATTCCGATCTATTACCACAAGCTAAAAAAAACAAGGATTAGAAAAAAAAAAGATGATGATTGTTTTGCACATAAGGTTGGTTGCTCGAAGTGCAAGCCTCTCATGGTGGTAGACTTGATCTCGCCAATGTTGTTCGAGATACTTTTCCCAAGTTTATTTTTTCTTTAAAAATATTGGTACGTAAGGGCTAAGAATATGAGTGGATTTCCATCGCTCCATATTCTTTAAAATATCAACTGTTGTCCACCCGACTAAAGGTGTGGCCTTGGGTATAGAATCCTGAAGTCGAGAATGTGTGGCAAGAGCTGTTACGCAATAAGTACCTACACTCGTAGATGCTCTCGCAAGTGGATACTGAAACGAGAGTTTCACATTTTGTAATGGTTGATGAAATTTAAACTTGTCCATGTATGGCACCTCTATGGTAAACTACGGGAATGAGTGATACTGACTAGTGCATGACTAGAACATCAGATTTCAAGATGTAACTCCTCACCTAAACATAATTAATTGTGGAAATTCCTAGAATGTTTGCGAGCAAGGAGAAGATGTCATTTGAAGAAGCGTACATTCACAACAGACGATGCATGATTTAAGGTCAAAAGTCAAAAGTTATGGAAGTTCCAATTAAAGTTGTCAAGAAACTAACTAATGTGGCTCCATAAGTTTGCTCCTTTTACAACCTCGGTTTCCCAAACTAATTCTTAATTTTGAGTTGTCTTCACACCTAACTGTTAAGTACCTCTAGTATAAGTATTGTTCCAATGTTCCTTGACAAAGTGGGGTGGGGGTGGGATGAGATATCTAAGATTGAGTTTTTAGATAGTTGATGTGTGTGTTGTTTAGTTGTAGGACTAACGTTATGGTATGGATGTGGACAGATCTATGAAAAAACCACCTTGAAAATTTAGTTGGCAATGTTTAAAGATTTTATATTGGGTTGTTTAGGAGAGCCTGCATATGCAAGTGTATGACAAAGTATGAGTGCAGAGGCAAAACTTGCAAAAGTGCAAGTAAGGAAAAAGATATTGCATACACACTTTATGAAGTAATGTTTTCCCTAGGTTCGAATAACTGGTGTTATCCTACTTTCACTTAGAAAAGAAACAAAAAACTTAGAGATACGATACCAGACACAACGAAGCTTCTTTCTGCAAGGAGAACTTTATTTGCGAACTAAATTTTGAAGGTGGCAATGTTTGGCAAGAAGGACAACTTGCTTAGTAAAACTGAAGATAATTGTTTGGAGGTACTCTGTCAACAAAGCAAGTTCTCCTTAAACTCAATGTGAATTAAAAGCCTACAAATTACAAAGTAAGAGCATATAGAATTAGGATTGGCTAACTTTTATCCCTGTCCATTTTGGGCCTCAATTTGTGCATGCATGCAATCATGTCCCCTACATCATCCCTAAATTGTCCAGTCAAATGCATGTGATTGGTGAGGATGAAGAGAGAAAGTGGAAAGAAAGAATAAAAAAAGAGAAAAAGTGATCCGAGGTGGGCCGCATCCTACGTGCCCGGACATGCCAGGACATCCTCATATCCTCCCCATATTTGGTGTGGATATGGGGATTTGTGGACATCTAGGACATCCTCATATGGGTAGTTTTTTTTCTTCGCTTTCCTGTCCAGACAGTGACCATGCAATCTGGTTGGACGTTTAAGGGGTCTGATTGTAGATGCTCTAAGAGCTTACAAGGCCAACCACTTGCTAGCACAAAAAATGAGGGTCACCAATGACGTTTCTTGAAATATAAAACAATTGTTTTCGAAATGGAACACTCGTATTCATTAAGACACGGCCTGATCGCCAGTCACAACACTAATTACATGTTATTCTAAAGAGTCAATTATACTGGTGGTGCCACAACTTGGCGCAAACTGTCACCTTAGTGCTACAACTTGTGGTGTACATCGAAGTGGTGCAAAAACTTGGCTTGAGCGTGCAAATACGGTGCTAATCGCGTTTGTATACGAACGCGACGGTGACGAGGCATGCCAGCATGGCGCGTGGCCCGCTGGCAGCGACTCAACAACGAAGATGGGGCGTCTGCGTGCTCTTTTTTCGAAAACTGCCACATTTTTTTGTTTTTTCACGCAAAAGCACTTGATAAGAGGGTCCCAGCTGTCAGCAGAATAAATTTTAATTGAAAACAGCTTTATATGCTATACTCATTCCAAGGGATGAATATTTTATTGAAAACAGCTTGAATTTACTTAAATATAAATATATATAGAAATTGATTTAAAATACTGAATTAATATGGAAAGAGTTTCTAAAATTAGTTAATATTTTTTATATTTCATAATTTTTTCGATTTTTATGAATTTAATAGGTGAACATTTTATGAAATTATATGGAAATTTAATAATGTGATTTACTTTATTTATATGGATATTACTTAAAATTTTAATTCAAATATTTTATGTAATTTCTGAAAAACTAACATGTTGAAAATTGGCTGCACTAACTGAATTCCGTTTTAGCCCATGAGGGTGTTCTGCTATAGACATAATACGTGACAATTCTTTGTAAACATGTAATTACAATTGTTGGTGTGGTAGCTCTGCTCGTTCTTGACCTAAGGTTGCATTTTCGAATTTCAGCGGCTGCATATGTTTTTTTCTTTGAAAATTTTAAATTCTTAATTTATGTTGTCTAAGTGAAGATATATAAAAGTTGTTTCTATTCTATACTGGAACGACGACCTTGATGGGGTAGTTAGCTGCACACGCAGGGTACTAGAGGTCCTCGGGTCGGATGCCCACCGCACCATTTTTGTCGGGGGCATTTCCGTGGAAGAAATAAAAAACTGAGGTGTTTTTTTATCAGGGGCTTTTTTGTGGAAAAAAACTGAGGTGATATTCACAAAAAACCATTGTATTGTCACTGACAATGCGTCCCACGCTACGTTGGCATGCGTCGTCAGCAGTGCTGCCGTATACAAACACAATTAGCACTGTATTTACATGTTCGAGCCAAGTTTTTGCACCACCTCGATGTACACCACAAGTTCTAACACTAAAGTGGTCGTTTATGCCAAGTTATAGTATCATCGGTGTAATTGACTCTATTCTAAATAAACTTGATAACACATCATTACTCTTAGTTTTCATGTCATTAATTACCAAAACCCAATGAGAGATGAGCGACAAAGGCAGAAGGTTGAGAGAAAAACATGTGGTATAGTGAATCAAGTTGTCAATGCATGGTTCATTCTCCCACGACCTTAGGGCGAGACTAGAGAACATGGCTTCGTTAACCACGCGTCTTGCCCCCAAAAAGTACACACTGTCATTGTTGTTAATTCGCAGCGTGCGCCCTGTTTGGCTGCTTCATTACCACAAGCCCTCATCTTCATGTCGTGAGGAGGTCCATTGGAGGAGAAGAAACAAAGACTCTGTTCTTCGCCTTGGTTGCCTATGCATCACATATCCAGTTCATACAAAACATGAATCACTTACACTCATGAACCCAAATCTAACATAACGAAAATGGCATAGCCAATCTACAACATCTGCATATGCGTACCTCCTTCTGCCAGTCAGCGCATAGCGTGATGGTCACGAGCAGCAAGACCTGCACCAGAATACCGCATATGATTCCCATCCAAAGGCCCTGGCCACACATCATTATTTTCACATTATTAGCATGCTATCAAACCCATAAAAGTTCAAGAAAACCAAATAAATACAAGGAAAGGCACCATCCCGCCGACGCGCAGCGTGAAGGCTACGAGGTAGGCTGCCGGTACACCAACTAAGGGCCAGTTCTTTTCGGCGATTCTCCCAGAATCGCCCCCCTCCCCAGCTTCTCCCAGAATCGTCACTCCATATATTTTTTATAATTCTATCTAGTTAAAGTCTAATTAGCTAGGATTGTAAAAAACATATGGAGTGATGATTCTGGAAGAAACTGAGGAGGGGGGCGATTCTGGTAGAATCGCCCAAAAGAACTGGCTTTAAGTAGAACGCGCCGAGGTTGATACATGCAGAGGTCTTCTGCCACCCACAGCCTCTAGCCACACCTACACATACGTGATGCATGTTCACTCCCTCTGTAAGTTAAGTATCTAAGAGTAACCGTGTATAGCATAGCAATTGAGAAGCAAGTACCTGAGAGAACACACTGAATTCCATCAAAGAAGTTGACAACCGAGATGACCAGTAGCATCCTGGCAACGTATCTCACAACCTCCTCCTCGTCGCTGTACGCATGGCCCCAGACGAAGCGCAGGAGGACCACGACCATCCCCATGACAGTTCCTTCCGAGATGGCCAAGACCACGACGACCCGCATGGCGAGGCGGGCTGCCCGTGGCCGCCCCGCCCCGAGCTCGTTCGAGACACGGGTGCTGCACCAAGCACGATCATGTCATGCAAAATAGCATGAGCATGATAGTAGGAGTGCCTCGAATAGTATCACTTACCTTATGGCAGCGCCAAGGCCATAGGGGATCATGAAGAGGCAGTTAACCGTGTTGAGTCTATCCTTGAGAAAACGGAGGAAGCAAATGTGAGGATGCGAAGCAAATCAACACAGGAGCAATCATGTCGATGCGATTGTCTTACGTGATCGACAGAACGGATGTTTCCAGCTTGGGGTTTGGAAGAAGCCCCGAAAGTAGCACGAGGATTTCGAACGACCACCATTCCATGCTGCCATTGCGAATATAAAAAACCTATCAATGATCACAACTACGTAACGGAGTATTAATTAATACCTCCAAATATCACTCACCAGAGCATGAGAGCAGACGGCACGGCGAGCCTCAAAAAGTCATGCGCCCCATGGAAGGCTTCCATGGAGAACCCGGTCCACGTCTGCTGGCAAGAGCTCGACACCCTCACATACACTGCCAGTAAGATCACGTACACCCAGTAGGAGACGGCGTTGCTAAGAGCAGCGCCCTTGCCGCCCATCCCGGCAACGTACACGAGCAGCCAGCAGACGAGCAGATGAAACAGGGCGGCCGCGCCGGCGCTGACCATTACCGGGAGCACGACGTTCTGTGCCTGCAGGAACCGGACGTGGCACTGCAGCAGTCCGTAGGCGAAGAGACCCGGGATCATCCACCGTGCGTACGTGCCTGCCTCCATGGCGATGTCGGGGTCCTGGCCGAACAGGAGCAGGATCTGGCCGGTGTGGAACCACATGAAGGCGACGGGGATGCTCACGACGGTGAGTAGTAGCATGGCGCGTTGCTTGTAGATGCCGAGGAGGTGATATTGCCCGGCGCCAAATGCTTGGCCGCACAGAGTGTCCAGGGCATTGGACATGCCAACCTGATCAAGTAAACCAAAAACGAAGAATATCATTCAGTTTTGTTAAAGCACATCTAGATGTGACATAAGTATTGCACATCTAAGTCCTATATCATTAATCTTACGTTGAAATTCATGTGGATATTTTTTTTTCTTTTTTCTTTTCCTTTTCATACTTGATTCACTCATTTAGATGTGCAATAAGTAGGGCACATTTAAATGTGCCCTAGACATTCCCAATATCATTTATGAAACCGGAACTTGGAGATCTATAAACTTGAACTCGACTTTGTACGTAACTGGATTTGAAGTGGCAGAAAATCAAAAGATGCAAATTCACTACAAACATAGCACAAAACTGAAAGAAGGATACCATAGTTTGGGCGTAAGAGGATTTGGAAGGGTCGGCACGTGTGCACGAGGGAAAAAACGCCGGTAAAAGGATCTCTAGTAGACCTCGTATAATACCGACCCGTAAAACACGTATACAGTTCGCGGAAAAACGGCTTTGCGGATCGGCGCAGGCGGCGGCAGAATCAACCCCGCAAAATGGACTCGTAAAAAATTGATATTCGCAGAATATGCTCTTTTACGGGTCGACTACGCGGGGTCTGCTCGGGCGCATCCCGCATCGACCTGCAAACCGAAAACCCCCAATAGGTGAATTTGACAGCGATTCTGATAATTGAGTTCAAATTCAAACAACAAAACATAGTTCGCGCGCAAATAAAAGCGTAGTTTTGTACGACAAACGCAAAAGGACTTCATGCAAAAGCGACGACCACGTCCATCATTATCTTGGTCGCTTTTCACCCGTCATCATGATCTTCACTCCGCACCACCTCCATCGATGCCATCGCCCGCCCCCGAATCCATTGCCGGAGCTTGTTCCAACTCCGACACCGAAAGCATCGCCGAACGCACTGAATCCATCGGCGACACTGGTTCCAAATCCCGATGAGAAAACATCACTGGCACTGTAACACGCACCGGCCGCCGCTACCATCCTCCTCTTCAAAATGTCTCTCCTTGTCATATCATGTCATTATTTGGTGATATCGTCCATATCATTGCGGTTCAATGTCATGATCCTATTCTCTTTGGCAAGAAGCTTGGACATGGCTTTGTTCTCAGCGCCATGTGCTCTTCTCTCCTCAATGTCCGCCTTGCGCAACCCCTCGTCCTTAAACAATTGACGTTTCCCTTGCTTCTTTTGTGCCTTCTTCCCGGCCAACTCTTTCTTTCTCTTCAAGGTCTTCGCTAACATCAACTCATTTGAATGCACCATGGCATCTATCTTGTCCCGCAAGCTCGATGCTTCGTGTTCCCTCTTGATCTTCACATTTGTCTTCTTGTCACCATCAGACTTGTTCAAGTTTCTTGGGCCATCATCATCTTCATCTTCATCCATGTTCGTAAGTGGACCTCACTTCGGTGGGGATTCTTTGTCAATCCACTTCCACTTGCCATACTCTTTGAGCAAGTCCCAACAATACTCTAGTTTAAAAAAATTGCCTTCGGAGGCTTCCATGTCTTTGTATCTTTGTTGGGCAATTTTCTCCTACACAATTCAAACAAAGTCAAATGATGCAAAGATTTCATATGGTACGAATGATGTGCACAACTTGGGACGTGAAAACAAAATTACATAGTTGAATTCCACGGATCCACTTGGAGGTGCATTGCGAACTTGTTCCAAGCAAGCAGCTCAACGGCTACAAATCGGTTTGATCACGTCCCAACGATCTTGGAGTGACCGAAAGGTCCGTGGAGTCCTATTGGGATGCTTCCCCATCATGCGGAAGTATTGATCTTCGATTCTTTGCCAATACCTCTTGGCGGTTTGAGGTGTACCCGTGCAAGCATAAAGAGACACCACACTCCAAGCCTTGATGAAGATTTGATCTTCCAACATCGTGTAGTTCTTCGATCTCACGCTTTTGTTTTTGCTTGCGCTTGCTCATACGCCCCCTCATCTACCTCCTCCACTTCATCTTCACCACCGTGATCACCCACGCCACCCTCCATTTCATTGTAACCGAAATCAACGAACGGGGCTTGATCGATGTCGACGGCGTTGGTGTCCGACAAGTTCACGAACTATGACAGTGGCATTGTTAGAACCACCGCTACAGTGAGTGACATCAAGTCACGAGCTACCACAATGGTGAAAAGCGAAACAAGTACAAGGGATCGAAGATGCATACCTTCCGGACATTTCATCGAACACCTCGCCTGCGGTCAAAGCAGCGCCGTTGAACGGCATCGCCGGGGAACATCTTGCCGGGGCGGAGGGAGTGGACGAAGGCGCCGGCCTTTTCGTAGGAACCTTCTTGTGTTTCACGCCCAAAACCTTGCCCACCTTCTCCGCCGGCGGCCGGGCAGATCTTGCAGCGGCGCTGGCGCCCGACGCGCGTGCCTTTCCAGCGGGGCCAGTCGGATTGCCGCCCTGCATGATGACGTTGCCCTGTCGCTTGCGGGCAGGCGCGGTGGTGCCTTGGGCGATGACGGGGACGACTTGACCGGCGATGAGATCCGCCGGAGGGGATTGCACGTGCGCGACCTCCACGGTGACAGGGGACGGCTGGGAGGCTTCCATGGTATCGAAGAATGGCCGGGGAAGATGGAATGGAGCGGGCGGTGGCGGGGCAATGGTGGCCGAGAGGGGGGGAGCGGGAACTGCCGCATGGAAATTTCCTTCGCGCCAAATCTCGCTGCGGATAGGGGGGCGAGCTCGGGTCAGCCTCCCAACCCGTGAATCTAAAGGTTGAGGGCGCCGCACCCCGCAAAATTTTTTATGAGTCGGACGTGTTTGCAGGGTTTGATCGGGCAGGATTTTCCGCATCAATCCGTATTTTGGTGATTATTTTACGGGTCGCAGCTTTATACGAGGTCTGATAGAGATGCTCTAACAGGGGTGCAAGGGCACCTAGGCGGCAACCGACGGGTCATGGCGACATGACGAAGGATACCTTGGATTGAAGGTTTTTTTGTAGGACTACTATAGGATTTTAATCATACAATAAGGCATTTCTCTGCTGAAGTCCTTTGTATCATGAGGGTTGAAATTACGAAAGTTCTATATAATCCATCCGTGTGCCCCATATTCATAGGAATCTCAACATAAGTTCAAACCATTTTTTTTTTTACTTTGAGAAGTCAAATGCGGAAACGCCTAAAGCTCCATGGAGCTCTTTATTTGAAAACTTCAAAAATTTCTCAAAAAAATACACATATACATATGAATGTATACTACATGCCCGCGAAGTTTCACGACAAAATACTTCTTTATGCGAGCTACACAAAAAAGAAAAAAATCACATATTTTTCTAGCACGTGTACTATTCACTATAACATTAGCGAGATTTCTCAAAAAAAAAATCACTATAACATTACACGGTTCTCTATAATTTTTTGGTACAGGCCACGTAAAAACGCATTTTGTGATGAAATTTCACACATATCTATAAGTACTTGCATATTTTTTTCAGATTTGTTTGAAACATCTAAGGTTGATTTTTGAATGTTTGAAAATTTCGGGCTATATGAACTCTGAGAGCAAAACATCAACTTAGTCAAATGCATTTTCATCTCTCTGTACACTCTCATAAATCTTCTAAAATTCATGTGCTTCTTTCCCGCGCACTGTTAAAATTCACTTGCATAATTTTCTTTTTTTGAAATCTTGTAGGATTCCACTGCATATGACATCTTTTTTTGCATATGACATCTCAATTATGTATTTTTGCTTATTCATATGTTCTCAAATTCCTGCATTCCAGAGAGTCCACAGTCATTTGTTTAATCACGCACCCCCGCTGAAGTAAAATTGCAAAATAAAATGCACAGAAAATTGCAATCACAACAAATACAAAGGTAGAAAATAAAAAAAACAAGTACAAAGCTAAAAAAAGTGATTACTTACAAAAGTAAAATGACATCTGAAATGGCATCACTAAGGTTTTCCCAAAAAATAAAATGACATCCTTGAGTTTTTTCCCGAAAAAAAGGCACCACTAAGTTTGGAATATCAGCTTCGAAAGTGTGCAATTCAGCAGAGTGCTGGTGCCACTTTTACTTCACAAGTAATATATGGACTGAGAGCATCTCCAGCAGTTGGCTCCTCAGGAGGCGCTAAAAATCGCCCCATAAAGACGCACCGGCATACACCGCGTGCTGGGGGCGTAATGCTCCCCAGTTGCGGTGCCCATGATTTTTTTTAAAACTAAAATTCAGCACAAACAAGGCGCAAATAAGCACAAACTTCGGCGAGTTCATACATATTTAAAAAAATTTACAAAAGAAAAAAAAGCTACAAGGCCCGTCGTCACCCTCACAGTTCCTCGCCGCCCGCCGCCCTTGAAGCTCTACATGCCGAGGAGCCTGTAGAACTTTGTGTAGTCGCCGCCGCCGCTGTCGTCGTTGTCACCTCCTCCGCGGCCGCCGTCCCTGCTGCACCCCTCCCCAGGTTGGCGCGGTGGGTTGGACGGCCCGGGGGTGTCCTCGTCCTCGTCGCTGTCGAGGATCACCACGCCGTTCTCGTCCTCGCGCCCACGCTTGCGGGCGGCTATCTCCTCCAGGGCTCGGCGCTGCCGGACCATCTCGTCGCGGAGGTAGTCGTCCCGCGCCCACTTTAGGGCGGACTCGTCGGAGAAGCCGCGCCGGACAATGGCCTCGATCGTACTCCGCGGGGAGGCCGGGCTCCTCCTTCGGCCCGACGAGGACGAGGCGGCCAGAGGTGGGGGAGGAGTCGACGATGCGGACGCCGGAGCTGCGGGTGTGCTGGCTGACTGGCTTGTCCTGGGGCTTCGGCTTGGCGGGGCGAAGGCACGGAGAGCCGGACGAGCGGCCGGACAAGGAGGAGGACGCCCCCGGATCCATGCGCCTCGGCGTCCACGAGCTCCCACGCCGGCGGGAGAAGGACGGGGGACAGGGGTACTCCAGCTTGGGCGTGTTGCCGCCCTCGATGTACTCGAGGACGGCCTCCGGCGTGCGGCCGGGCACGCCCCACCATCGGCGGCGGCCTTCGAAGTTGTGCCTTCCGGAGGGCACGACGCCGTTGGTGGCTTCGAGCTGCTCAGTGTGGCGCCGCCGGAAGTACTGCTCCCAGAGCGGGCTGTCGGGGACGTACCGCGGACCTTCCCTCGCCGCCTGCGGCAGAGAGGCGCGGATACGCGCGATCTTCGCACGCCGCGCCGCCCCGGTGGGCGGCGGTGGCACCGGGACCCCGTCGGCGCTGATCCTCCATGTCCCGGGCACCCGCATGTCTAGCGGGACTGGGTACTCGGCCTCGTAGAGGAGCCAAGTTTCGTCCTCGTGAAGGTGGCGGCGGCTGAAGCCGTTCGCCGCCGCGCCATCGCCTTGAAAGCGCTCGGCCATGGTTGACGGCGAGAAGAAAGGGAGGAACGGGGGTGTCGAGGAACGAGGGCGTCGGCGATGGAGAGCCTATGCGTCACCCCCGCGCTGGGGGCGGCTTATATAGGCTGGGACGCCGCCCATACGCGTGGCCGTCGTGTGTACGTGTGGCGGGCGAGGGATGTGCGTCGTCCCGTCTTCACTGCGCCGCCCGTGAGGCATCAATGGAGGAGGCTGACCAGCGTGGCAGCGCGCGGCAGCTTTGGCATTGATTCCGCCACGGGAACCGAGGCGATGAGGACGACGAAGCAGCGAGAAGAGTCGAGTCGCTGCCAAGGAGGGCCTGCCGATTTTCGCGCCAAAAACGATTCGGTCGGCGCCTCCAAACGCCCCCCAGCGCACCGGATTCGACTTGGATCCCCCGGCGTCAATTTCGGCCCGAGCCGACGTAAAAGGGGCCTTTGGGGGTGCGACTGGGGCGATTTTTTGGCACCGGCGGTCAAAAAATCGTCTAGGGTGCTTTGTTGGGGACGAGGCTGGAGATGCTCTGAGGTGTGGCTGGATGTGCATATCCAGAGGTTTAAAACATGACTGAAAACAAGTCCAGAAAACTTAGGAGTAGACAATGCCATCTTTTTTTTCAAAACAGCATGTCATGTTTGTATATGATACTCATTCCTGCCATCTTCGTTCAAATTAATTTCCCTTATATATCACGGTAAGACATGATCATTCGCGTGAAAGAGAACACAACACAACAGTCCAGAAGCTAGCTGCTGGATACCACTTGAACTACCACACATATGTGCACCGTCCCTTGGTCACTACAAATTGTCGACATCTCTAAAGCACAAAACTATTCCCTTTCCAAATACTCCGACAAACACTGCACACCAATAGCCAGTGCAACTGTTCAAGTGGCAAAATCACCTTCTTTTTGTTCCTTTTTTTCACCGGAAAACTCAGCTTCTTTTGCCTTCAAAAAAAAAAACTCAGCTTCTTTTACTGCTAGTAATGGGATAGCATGAACAAACCAATGGGGGCAACCAAACAAATTCGCACGCTTCCATCCCACAAAAGCGCCAATCGAGATATAGAAAAAATGAAGCATGATTAAGAAACAGCGAAGCGAAATGTTGCTTACCAGCAAGCTGAATCCGGTGACGGTGGCGAAGGAGGTGGCCACGGACGCGCCGGCGAGGGGCAGCTCGCCGAGGTGTCCAACGAACATGATGGAGATCATCTGGATCAGGTTCTGCAGCAGGCTGCCGGCGGTGAGCGGACCGGCCAGCCATAGCTGCCGCTTCACCTCGTCACCCACCGGCAAGCTCTCCCCAACTAGCTCCTTCTTGTCCCGGCTCCTCTGGAGCAGAGTTTCCTCGACGCTTGGCTTCTCCATTTTGCCTCCTCTTGCCAGGTCTGTTGCTTGTTCCTCCTGTATACTATGACTAGGGGTTGGAGCGCCACCCGGTGGCGTCTCCTGAGAGGAAGTTTGTGCGGTGCCAGATTGACAAGCGATCCTTTCACCTCTTTTTTCTCTAATTGCCGATGAACATCCTTCCGAAGTTGTGTTCTGCTCCTACAGGCGTCTCTGATCGTCTTGCTAAGCCCTGTGGGTCACCTTATTGACCCTACCGAACCCCACCATGTCAGTGCTCTAGTCGAACCTCTCCTCCGCCTCCGATGATGCCCTGCTATCCAGCTTGGGTTGGCCCTGCTCTGCATCGTCCTGCTCTCTGGCACAGGTAAGAAACACGCCCCATGGTCGTCAATCCATACCATGGCGATTTTTCGAGGGAACAGCACTCTCCAGCACAAGGAAGAAACACGCCCCGTAGAGAGCATCGTCGATGGGCACCATTTGCGTGGGGCGCCCAAATAGCGCCCCATTGGGGCGCCTCCTAAGAGATGGTTGTGCGGTGCCAGGTAGGAGGCGACCGATTCACCCAAAAAAATCTTGTTTTGGTTAGCACATGAATATGCTATTGGTGATACACAATATGTCAACTGTTCTTGTGCTCAACCAATTGAAAGCACGATCTACATTGAGTGTTGATGCAGTACATGGTTCACATATTACAAGAAAAATAAATCAGTCGTTTCCATTCAGTCATGCATTAGAGGAAGTACAACAACTAATCTTGGCATATAGTGTCATGCGAATTCTGGTCGAAGTACCAACCTAGACAAAAGCGGATGCAACTCCAAACCTATCCTCGAAAAAAGACATCAAGCTAAGTAACTAAGCTAAGGATCATTCTTCGGTAGAAGATGAGTGGAAGTTCAAGAGCATAGCACCATTGCTCCTTGTAACTCCTGAGCATGAGAACACACAAATGCTTCTAGAAAAGCTTCAGACCAGCACTAACATTGCAAAGCATGTCAGACAACCCTGTTAACAAGAATCAGTAGAATCAGAAAATAAACATTAGCTAACCACAAGTACTCAAGACTGCAAGGCAAAAGATGCAGCAATAAGATGATATATCATTACACTGCAACTTCATTATTTACAGCTATGGGGTATATCACCCAATCGAAAGAAAAAAAACAGTATGTGCCTTGTTCTAGCTACTAATAAGATGTTAGCAGTTGGCCACTGAAAAAGAGCTAAATTAATTCATCATACAACACTACAACCTCATTTCTTTACAGTTGTGGGGTATATCACCCAATCGAAAGGGGGAAAATAGTATGTGCCTTGTTCTAGCCACTAACAACATATCAGTAGTTGGCCACCAAAACAGGGCTAAATTAATTTGCCATACAACATATTAGCTATATCATGTGTGAATTGACCCGAAAAGATAATTGCAGAAGAACATAACCATGAAACTATCTAGCCGCCAATGAAGAAAGATTGTAGATACTGAAAAGATATACAGAAGGTTTCTTGGTGCACTGGGTGAATTTAATTGTAACATGACAGATGCAGATGGAGTGCAGCGAATGAAAATGAAATGCTCTCATTTTGTATCATGCTGATGCGATAACCATATGAAGAATTGACATGGGCACATTGCCAGACTAAAATGCTCAGTCAAGTTAAATGGAAAAGAAGATGCAAGTAAAAGAAGAGTATTCAAGCACACAACAACAACAATGCACTGAATGAGAAGCATTGAAAGTATGAGGGGAAGCCCTACCAATTTGGTGCTGCCTGATGAGAGAAGAGCCATCCATGAAAACAAATGCAGCTTCATTATTGTATTCAGTTATAGAGATGTTGTTGCTCATCTAAATAAGATTGCAGAAGAAAATGCATCATGACACATTCTATATTGCAAAAAATAGGACACCAAAGTACTTGATGACTTAAAGTGCTCTACACGAGTGCACCTCAATCAAACCCGTCCATGACTAAGGACAAAGACAATTTGCATGTAAAATATTTTATGGTGATAAATGTCATTCCCAAACCCGCCCATGACTAAGGACAAAGACAATTTGCATGTAAAATATTTTATGGTGATAGATGTCAGAATGAGTGAAGGTGAACCAAAATTCACGTTAACATGATGTTGTTTATAATTAGTTGACAAATCAGATTACTTTCTGCTGGAAGAACTGAAAAATATAAAAACCCTGATGATTAAAAAGCAACATAGTTTGAAGAAATGCAATCGTGTGGTAAGAGAAAGTAGGCGACTTAGATCATCTGGGGTTTGAATAACTTAGCTTAACCTCTCTATCTTTGTTAGTGAACAGAAAATTGAATCTGAGAGGACTCGTTGTACTCTATCCTATGGTGCAGAAATTAAGGGGGGTGACCGCAGAATTCAAAGATTCTAAAACTTTCTAAAAAATGTCACATCCACCGCTACGTCTTCTGAAAGTAAGTAGTGCATCAGAGGGTACGTGTATGAAATGTGGGCTATTAACTAAAGGATAGAAAAGTAAGAACATGTCGAGATAGCCGATGTATTGATGGAGAAAGACTCGTGATATACAACCACATCACAAGAGAGTGCAACCACAATAATAGCGAGGATAACAAACCGAGACCAATCAGAAGTAACTGGACCTAGCTCAAAGAGATCCAAAACAGTACCTGAACTGCAGAGACGATCCACTCAGTACACCGAACGCCGAATCGAAGTCGAGAATGATCTCACTCGTGCGATTTCTGACAAAAAAACGAAAATCCCAGGCCACCATATGGATGGCATAGCATCAAACACCTAATGAGCATGAATCGACCAACATACATATGAATCCAAGGACACTGAAAACACTAAATCACACGGAAGAATAGCAGAAACGCATCTTGACGACAAACGAGGCAGAAGGCCCAGCACAGGAAGATGAACAACACGATCGATCGATGAAAGGCGACAAAACCGGTGCTCACCCGACAACAACCTGCAAACAGAGGAAAAAAACATGCAAAAATTGCATAAAAGACTTGCTTCACTAAAAACAAAAAAATAAAATAAAGGTGATTTCAAGGGAGGAACGATCAACACATCAAAATGTACTCTTTTTTGAGGTTGTTCTGATGCAATTTTACTACTACAAACAGGAGCAGTTAACCAAACTCTGCCAAACGTATATAGATGGAGGAATTTCACAAGCAATAACTACCAGTCTACGATTATCTGGCCATCACACCACCCAAATCAATGTTAACCGTCTTGCCAGGAAGAGGGAGAAGGAGAGGGGAAGGAAGAGGAGGAAGATCTTACTGATCAGAGAAGCCGGAGGCGGACCGCGGAACGGCTTGGTGGTGCTCCCGACCCTCACCGACGCCGGCGCACAGGAGGGGGCTCACCTCTGATCTTGTCATCCATCCTTGTGGCAGCGCCGGTGGCAGATCACATATTGAAACTACCGCCACCACCTCTCCTCCCACCCAATCCTCCCTCGAGGTGCACAACCGGTGCGTGCTCGCAGCCGCTTCCTCTCATCCACCGCCCCACCTCCCCGGCCGCTGGCAGCTGCTCTGCTTCCTCCCGATGGCCAAGAATGGGAAAGACCAGACCGTTGGGTCTTTAGGTCTTGTACACAATTTCAGGAAGGTTTGCAACTCTGGCGTATAACAAACAAGAGATATTGAATAGATGTTCATACATTAAAAATGCACTAATTGATTTCATAGCTTCAACTAATTTCGGATGCATTAATGGCTTCAGATTGGACGTTGTGACTTGTGAACAGCCATGGACATACTGATAATCGAAACTCAGGTTAAACTGAGAATTTCCATATCCTACACTACATCTTACGGAAACTGACATATGCAAAACTTATTGGGTTTCTTGCTCGGTCGCCATGTCGGCTGTTGGCTCAGAATGTGGAGGTATTTGGGATGTTGCTGGAAAAGTATCAGCAAGTACTTCCTCCTCCGTGAAACAATTCAATGTCTTTTATTAGGACAAGTAAAGAGCAGTTTTCAGACAGAAGATACACACCATCGTCTCATCGGTTCTTGTTTCATGACCCGTCAGAAAAATCTGAGCACTTATAGCTGAAAGATGTTGCCTCTTCTTGGCATGCCGCAGTGACGAGGGAACGGTCCGACCGGCATGATTGTGTATGGCTAAAACCTGAAAGTAGGAGACTCAATATTGAGATGTGAATTTGGTGCTCTGCCAATGGCTTAAGAAAACATCCAATGCGTGAATGTCCCGAGGTTAGAAACACTAACATCAATAATACATTCAGAGACAAGTTAAGTTAGATTTGTTGTTAAAAAATATTACTATATTAGTTTGTAAAACACACAAATATATTTGTTGGTTAGCCATCAAATTTGAAAACCATTTTCCACACATGCTCCTATGCAATCAGCAAATCAATAGGTAAAGATGGAAAGAGAAAGGGACAAAGTTGTCCATGTTCCTAGTTTTATGAGACAGCAATCAGTACATGATCTTAATTTCCTAGGAACTGGTAGGTCCACAAAATCACAGTCCTCAGCCACCTTTGAATTTGCAAAATGAAAATTAAATTAAGCTGTGCATACTGGGACCAAATAATGACCGGTACTCGCTATTTTCACTGTTTCCATGAATAAGATCACAAATCCAGATAGCATAGTACAGATCCATGCTTCAGTTCTCATCCTGCAAATTTCAATAAGAGATGTAAGCTATAAATAAACATGTAAAACCAAAAATGGCATGCACTTACAACACAAATTAGAATCTACACCAAATTTTTGGTTAAAATCATGGCAATTTGGAAAGAACCAGAACCACAAATCATGGGCTTGAAATCCTTCATGTGCATTGACGTACATAATTCACACAAACCAAACCCAATAAAATCTCATACGAGGAGGTTACGATCCAAGAGAAAGAGCTCACCTCCTTCTTATTTGCCAGGATCCAGATCCTCCATGTCATGTTCTCCAGCCGTGTGTTCCTTGTTCGTGTATGACAAATCTTGCAGATCGAT